CTTCAGCCAGGAGGCCGGCCACTGGGAGGGCCGGCTGCGCTTCCAGAGGCTCTCGGCGCTGCTCTTCCGGCTCACGGTGCTGCAGGCCGGCGTCGCCGACACCGGCAACTACTCGTGCCGCGTGGAGGAGTGGCTGGCGGACCCCAACGGCGTGTGGTACCGGCTGGCGGAGGAGGAGTCCGGCGCGGTCGCTGTTCACGTGCAGGACACAGGTAAGAAGAGGTGACAGCCTCTTGAGGGGATGGCCTGTATGTCTTCTGTTCTTGTGGGCATTCATGATCCCTTCCCGTCCTTTGCCTCCACAGCCATAAAGCCCATGGCTTCAGCATGTGTTCAGAGGCAACCCTGCTGGGTGACAGCCCAGTCATTCCTTTTCCATGTTGGCTTTCAGGTGTAAACCATGCTCAGTTGTGGTGATGAGCATCAGCTTTCTTTGCCTTTGGCAGCCAACGTGGATAGACCGAAGAGTGAATGGGATAGGGAGCCTGGATCTGGCCTGCACTGGGTCAGATCAGTGACTCAGGTTTTTCCATCAGCTTGCTAGCTCTTAGGTCACCTCTTGCTCAGGCATCGAACATCTGCACTGCCCGTATCAGCAGAGGCTGTACTGTGCTTAAGCGTAACCTTTCACTTTGGGAACCAGCCTGGAATTTGGCCTAGCTCTGCATGTGAGCCCAGGTTTACATGATAGCAAGCCGGGGAGAGGGTCAGGCTGAGGCTGGGCTGATGATGCCCATAAAGCCAGTTCTGCCTTTGCCTTGCACAGGGAGACTGCAGCATTATAGCACCCTGATGGATTGCCAGATGCTCTCCTGCTGCCTGGGCACTGCCAGCTTAGTAGAGCCTGCCTCCAGGGCAGAGTGGAGGGTGAACTCTGTCTTTAAAGGAGCTCCTGCTGCTGCAGCCCTGTGCACGAGGCCGTCAATCCCACCTTGGCGTATAGAGTCACTCTGCTGTGTGTCTTGGTGCTGAAGAATTAGCCCTGCAAAACTAACCCTGTTGTCCTAAGGAAGCGAGATCTTATGTGATCCATATGCTATTATGCAGGAGTTTCCTGCCAGTAATACTTGAAACCATCAGATAATTTTAGATACATTCAGCCATGAGCTTGAGTCCTCAGTGATAACTAAGGGCATGAGAGCTTTGTGGGCACTCAAGGGACATACCTTAAGAGGTCGCCTGTGTGTGCTTCCATTGAGGAAAAAGCTGCTGGTTGAGGTTCCCCAACTTCATCAGACACCAGACCAGAGCACTCATAAAACTTATGGGAGGGATACAGTGATTCCTACAATAGCCTTATTTTGCTGCTAAACTTTGAGATGTTGGTATGTGATTTTTTTCATTTCTGAAGAAAGTTTCTGAGTTATGGATTGCAGAAAAGCTGTAATATGTGTTTGTCCTTTGTCTCTGCTTTTCAGGCTCTACCCTTCAGTCAGTCATCTGCTCCAACGATGCCCTCTTCTACTTTGTATTCTTCTACCCCTTTCCCATCTTTGGCATCTTGATCATCACCATCCTCCTGGTGCGGTTCAAGAGTCGAAACTCCAGCAAAAACTCAGAGGGCAAGAATGGGGTCCCCTTGCTGTGGATCAAAGAGCCTCACCTCAACTACTCCCCTACTTGCCTAGAGCCACCAGTCCTCAGCATCCACCCAGGGACTATAGACTAAAAGGCCAAGGCGCCCAAGTGGACGCACAGAGAGGGAGAAACAGAGACAGACCGGGAACCCTAAGGAACAGGGTGGTTTTTGTTGTTCTTGTTTCATTTGTTTCAGTGTCTGTGCTCCAGTGCGGTGACTGGGATCTGCAGAGCACCCAGTTGATGGGCCTGGGAAGTCTGAGGCTTCTTCAGGCATCTGTGGAAACGCAACCAGTCACAAGGACAGACGAAGGGTCTGTGTGCTTGCTGTACATAGCAGATATTCTTCACAGATTAATTTTGCTCACATCGATTGTCCTTTTGGCCATGATTTTTTTCCCATTCTTTTTATTTTCAATCACCCAAAGAACTTTAGACTTCCCCTTCTTCCACACACTGAGGAGTTGCCAGCGCACTTTTGATCCTGGGACAATCTCTGTGGAGTAAATGTGCGTTTTTGAAAACAGACTTCATTCTTCTTCCTCAGACTCTGTGCCACAGCAAACAAGGTCTTTTCCCAAGGTGTGCTGAGCTAGCCACTCCCTCTTCCAAAACCAGCAAAACCAGGATGACATCCTGAGTCTAGCTGGGGTATTGGGAGCTCTATCTTAAAAACTGGACATAGCTTCAGCTTCTTGCTTCCATTTTACTGTTTTCTCAAGAGGAAGAAATTCACTATTTGGGAGTGTTCCCTGGTCTTGGGCAGACTGAATATTCCACACGCCTGCAGAAAGACAAAAGCAAGTTTGCCTCCCCAAACTGAAGGGAGAGGTGGAAGGGGGATGCCTCAAAGCCCTGACTTTGCTGGTAGCAGAGAGGCTCCTGGCACGGTCTGGCTTATCAGAGACACACTCCTCCCTAGCCTCTGTGCTGCCACCTCTGGAGAGGCAGGTTACCTATGTGCCCCCGTCGTGTGGGGATTGATGGCTGGATCCAGTCTATAAACACTTTAACTTGACCAAAGCAATGACTCTAGAGAGGGGGAAAGGGAAAGCTCCACAGGAGGGGAGTCACGTCCTGGCATGGTTTAGCAAAGGAGCCAGGTCACAGTCGCGCCACGCAGCAGGGATGTGCAATCGTATGTCCCTGAGATTCACAGGGGCTTGCAAGGCCTCCCTGCCCGAACTTGAACTGGTGAAGGAGTCAGCATCACGTCTGCTCCTTGAAGTCTTCTGTGTCCCCTTGGGCTGAAAGAAACCTCCCCCTGTGTGTGCGTGCATGTGCCATTTTCCAGTTCTGGGGCTTTAGGAGAAGAAACAGTTTTGCTATAAGCTCCCCCTCCTGGCAAGGCCACCTGCTCTTTGTCGTACACAATTGCTGTGACTGAAAATGCTGTTCTTTCTGTGAAAGATATGGCTCTTGCGAACCAAGCCAGGGCTCTCTCAGCATGGGGCACCTAAGCTCTAGTACCCAGTCATGCCAAGTACTCCTGCCATGTCCTGTGGAGGAAACCGCCTCCTCCCCAATACACCCTAAGCATTATGTCTGGCGGAAGAAAGTGTTTGCCAAAAATGGCCTTTTGTTGTCTTCCTTGACGTCTTCCTGGCAAATCTGGCCATTTATTTTTCGCAGCATGGCTGAAGCCAAGAGGGGCAGATGGGCAAAGCCACAAGACCCCACCTGCCTCGTGTGAGAGTGGTGCCATAGCTACAACCTCCGTCCCCCTTGAGGCGGTAGGACGGCTCTTTGTGAAGAGGACCTCAGCAGATGCCCTGTAGCACTAGTATGTTAGCGCCTGATGCCTTGATGTTTCAGAGGTGGTGAAGCCTTGGGTGGGAATCTGAACATCCTCTCTCCTGGCCAGAGAGGAGCCTGCATACGCCTACATGCACACGGACAGACCCGTTCCCAATGGCAGGTGAGTCCATCAGACATTCGTATTAAGCCACCTCTGCTCCTCAAGAACAGTGTTCCTTCTGCTGCTGGGGAAGCTAAATTTCACTCATCCGTCTGTGAAGTCTCCCTCCTCAAGAGGTAATTGCTTACTGGCCCCAGTGTACATGTAGTATCACACTCCTATATATATCACACACCCACACACTTGTCTTCCCTTTCTGGATAAGGAGTCTGCGAAGCGCAGAATGAAAGGATAAGTGAATGGAAATGAAGTACCAAGGCAAAAAGAACAGCAGCTGCAGACAGTGGATATTGTTCCATAAATGTAGTATCTCCTGTACCTACCCCTTCAGGGGATGAACTGCAAGTCATGTCCCCTTTAAAGAGAGGGGAAAAGCAAAGCTGCAGCAGGAGCTGTCAGTTGTTAGAGCACGTGGTGCTGCAATTCAGGCGGGCTCCTCCACAGCCGCCTGTCTGGCAGCACAGCCCAGGAGCAGGGCTGCCTGAGGGGCCCTTCCTGGGCGCCTTCCCACAGCTCAACCCGAGCCGTCTGCCGCCGTGGCCGCCGGTGCGTTCTTGCACTGAGCGCAGCATTTCCTGGGCAGCGGCGCCCGCCACGGCTGCAGGATCCCCTGCCAGTGCTGTTGCTCCCTTGCTCCAGCAGTGTGTTGCCCTGCCTCAAACTGCCCTCTGTTTTTATAAGGCAAACTTCCTATAACGAGTTTTAACACGGAGCTTTTCAAACAACTCTCTCTGCTGTAACTTTCTGTACCGAACCCAAGACAAAAGAGAGAAACCCTATCCATGCATGATGTGGAAAAACGTTTGGGATTTTTTTTAAAAAAAAACAAACTTTGTACTATGTTGCACTAAAACATGTTTTATACAACACACCTGAGAGCTGTAGTAAACTGTGTTGAAATTGTGATTCACATTGCTGCTGTTTTTTGTCTGATTTGCCTTTTCTTATGCCTTTATGGACACTGCCTGCCTACAGATGTGCTGAACTCCCAAGCCAGCCCCCACTTCTAGGCAGCCCTCTCTCCCTCCTGCAAAAAATGCCTAATGCATCAATTCTCCTCCCTCCCAAGCAGCACCTCTCCCTCCCTGGCTGAAGCTTGTGGACAGACACCTTTGCTCCCTCTGGCCCTCCAGGCATACAGCCCCATCCATCCCTCGTCTAATAGAATATGGCCTTTAACAGAGGCATGGCATAACCGTTTATTGGACAGGATATCCTGAAATTGCTCTTGGAAGAGTAAGCATTTAGCTGCGTAGTATTTGGGATTTGAAGAAAAACATTTGCCACAGAATGAGCAAATGGTAACAAAATAATCATTAGTAGTCTGGACTTGAATTTAAGAATACAGTTTTTTATCACAGGAGTTGCCTAACCTTATGTAAGATGCAACCTCTACATTTGCTCATTAGCAACATAGGGGTTGATGGCAGTCTGGAACTTCCCCTTAACCAAGATAGGAAAGTAGCATGACGCATATTTTAAATAACAAAAGCACTGTGGAATTCTGCAAAATGCACTGGTGAAGCAGCAAGGTTACATTTATGGCACTCATTGAAAGCAAAAAAAATACTTTTTACTAAATAAATTGTGGGGGAAAAGGTCACGCCCGACACAGCCAGCCGTTGCCTCTGCTGGAGCTCAGAGCAGATGCACGCCAAGGCGCATGCCAAGGGAGCCAAGGCGCTGTCCCTGCGGCCGTGCAGTGCTGGGTGTCCATAGCCCTTCTCATGGCGCAGTGGGGGCCACAGCACGTGCCCTGGCCTAGGCACAGGGGAGCCTGCACTGTCCGTGTGGAGGAGGAGGGGCTGCGTTCGCACGCTCACACTCTGCTGGTTTGGAGCCCCCTTCCGTGCCACAGCACCGCGTAGCTGCTCCCCATCACATCCCAAACTGCCTCGCATCAAGTGGCCACGGCGCTGAAGGTGGCACGCAGGAGAAGCAAGCGCCAGCCTCAGCCCCGTGCCAATCCCACGCACTGACTCGGCGGGCGCACAGAAGCACGGCTGGCTTGGGGTCGGCTAGACAGCACAGAGCAC